AGCGCCGCGGACCCGAGCTGCCGGTTCGAGGCTGCCCCCAGCCGGGTCCCGCCTTCCGCGGCGCTTCTGGGGGGCTCAAAATTGTCCCCCGGCCCCAACCCACGATGGGGGGGACCCAGGTACTGCCTGCCCATCCCGGAGATCACCACGGACAGCACAGCCCTCCCAAGAACGAACCAGGAGGACGCTGAGGTGGCCACACATGCACCGAGTTTATTGTGCTCATGCGTGGAGTGACACGGCAGGGGACAAGCGCGGGCAGCCGAAGGAAACAGCAGCTCCCCACGGCAACAATGGCCGGAGAGACAGTTCAATCCTGACAGCCCATTATTGGTGTTTCCAGGAAAATAAAAATAAGAAGGGCCTTCCCGGCAGAAGCCCCGCTCGCACGTGCAGAAGAAGGTGGCCGTACACCGAAGCCATGGCTATTACTTACAGCGCGTTACATGTAGCATTTGTGCACCTCGCTATAAACGCAGGGAAAAAAAAAATAAAAAGTGGCGTTACCGTTAATCCAGCATTTCTCACAGGCGGGATGAGAGCGCACAGTTTGGCAGAGGCGGCTTTCGGCTAGCTTTAAATGAATTGCACAATATTTAAACCTGATTAAGTACATAATAGTCTTAGCAAAGGATTAGTTTTCTCTTTGTTTTATACATATATATATATCACACACACACGCACACACACACACAGGCATCTTTAGCATCATTTTAGTTGTGTCAGGAGACAACCTGCCTTGGTCGAATGGTTGAAGTGGTGCCTGTAAGAGGCGACTACACTTGGTGCAGATAGGAAATAAAGGAAATAAGCCCCCTTTTGCCATGACTCTTGGGGACACGTATCACTCGCAAGCATCCTTTAGTGACCAGAGGGACAGGGGCCACGAGGCTGATTCCCCACAAAGCTCTCGCTGTGCCACCACATCCCTTATGGGCAAGGGACCCAAGCAGAGGTACAAGGCCAAGTCCCACTGATCTTCCTGGAAGTCACAAGGGACAAGGAGTTATTGCCAGCACCATCTTTTAGCTAAAGGTCATCAAATTAGCACATGCCTTGTAGGTAACGGGGCCCAGTCCTGGTCACCCTGTGGAGTCAGTCGGTGAGACTGGCTTTATGTGCTTGCATACAGGGCAGCAAGATTGGAGCCAGAGCCTTGCCCAAGAGCAGGTCCTCCAAGAAACACTCCCCTGGGTTTAGTCTCTTTTTTAAGTAGAATCCTTTAAAAAACAGAGCCAGGATGCAAAATCTCCACCGGTTTTACATGAAAGATGCCTTGCTCCAGCACACACACATACACACAGTGCACTGTGGCTCTTGGTCACAACCACGCACTAACACTGCTCTGCCACGTCAAAAGTGTCAACTACTCATTTACAAGAGCGCAGGGCTGACAGAAGGGGCAGGTCCTGAGCTAGGGTGCAGGTGAGGAGCCTCTCGGCTTTCCACAGCATGAATAAGTCACTGGTTTATTGTTTTGCACTACTAAATCAGCCAGCCACCTGCTAGTTAAAAAGCAAAAAGGAGGAGAATTTCCAGGAGTGTTTGCCTCAGGTAGACAGTGGCAGATGGCTGGCCACCACCGACTGAAAGAGGAAAAAATATATATATACACACATATATATCTGTAGTTCTGCTGTTATCACAAGAGGAGAGATGGGTGCTGGTTGGTATTTTTATCTTTTCTTTTCTGGGGGAGTGAGAGAGGGCTTTTGGCTGATGTACTTCTAATATACATCTATCACCACAGTAATTTCAAAATCATCACCATACACTAGTTCACAGGGAAAAGACACAGGAACATACACCTATCACCACGCACAGCAAGAGTCCTGCAGGCAGCCCAGCGCCTCTTCAAAACAAAAAGAGAGAGAAAAAAATTACTCAAGACCACAACGGAAAAATAAAAATGTCGTTACAGGGAAGAGGGGAAAGAGATTCATCCGTTCTGGTGCGCTCCACCTTTCCCAAGGAGTTGTGGCAACTCGGCTCAGCCGTCTTCCTCCTCCTCTTCCTCCTCCCGTCCCCCCCAGCTCCAGCGCCCAAGGCCAAGGTCCGGCTGCTCACATCTCGTTGGAGTAGGTGTAGTTGGGGGTGGCCGAGTACTGCGTCTCGTGCTGCATCATGGCCCCGTGCGCAGCCCCTGCCGCGGCGCTCTGCGCTGCCTGCTGCACGTGGGGGTTCTTCCAGGCACCCGTGGTCCACTCCTCCTGGGCCTTGCTGAAGCTCCCGCCGCTGCCCCGGTAAAACTTATGCACCTGCAGCGGTCAGAAGGGTGGAAAGGGCAAAACATGAGTTCATCTGAGGCATCTGGCTGTAGCTCTTGTGCCCCTGTCCCTCGTCCCCGCCGTGGCCATACCATGGTGAGGGCAATGAAGGAGAAGACCGCCATCCCGGTGAACAAGACAGTGGGGATCAGCATCACCACAGCTGAGCCCACATTGGTCCCAAAGAACGAAATTGCTGCAATCCAGCCACTGCAAGGAGATCAAGAGACAAGATCAAGAACCAATCAAGTAAGGTAGTTGTCCCAAGATCTGCACACCCCATTGAACCCCGCTGTGCAGCGGCAACAGAGACCCCCTTGGCTTTCAGTACAAGGGCAGCTCCCTCCTTACCAGACACCCCAGCCAGGGATCCCCACTGCCTGGATGATGCTGATCACCAGCTGGGCCATGAAGGTGAAGAAGAAGGCCATGAAGCTGAAGGAGCTGTCTGTCCTGCAAAAGACGGTTCAGTCACCTCCTAGGTCTCCGTCCCCACTGCGCTCCTGGTGGAAGGCAGACACTCTTGCCACTATGGGTCCCATCTCGGGCCCTTTTATCACACAAGTGGCTGTGGGTTTTTTCACCCACCAAGGTTTAGGGGGTGAGAAGAGGGTTTGAACAGGTTAGCCAGAAGAGCAGCTTGCTGCAGACAGCAGAGCAAAACCATGGAGAAAGGAGAAGACGTGAGATGCTCAAGGTGGTGGAAGGGCAGATGGGAAGACCATTAGGCACCTGCTCTCCCCAGGACGTAGCTTTGCAGCCCTGTCACTGTGTCTGGACAGCAAAGCCAGGGTGAGCGTCTCCTGCCCGCAGAAGGGCCCGTGCCCTCCTCCTGGGAGGGTGATGGCACAGAAGGCCACGGGCAGAGCAGTTTACATCATGTATCAGTGGGAAGTGATCGAGTTCGGCAGCATGTATAATTGATACAAATACCGCAGAGGCTTATGAAACATAAAAGAGGCCTCAGGGATGGGGAAAAATCTGCCTTTTTGTTGCAGAATAGAGAGGTCTTTCATTTTTGCACAACTCTTTCTTGACTTAGAAGGGCGAAAGGAGCTGGACACTTCCTTTCCCATGCACAACACGCACCCATGGGGCTCCCAGCTCTGCAACCCCACAATAAGCCATACATACAGGCAGGCAACTGTCTCTATGCTGAATGGATGGAGTCTAGGCTGCCTGGAGACCCCAAACACCCTTATTTTGACAGTTAGAAAGTCAGTTGACAGTTAGAAAGTAAAGCTAAAA